AGCATAAAACTGTGAATTGTCATAAACCGTATAAACATGTTAGTTTGCTTCGAAAAGTATTTTGGAACAATTTTTAGAAAAGTATTCGTTTAAACAAAAGGTTATTTGTTTGTATAACAAAAAAAAATTATATCAAATAATTTAACCAAAAACTCTATCTACCATATCATATCCATTAGATTTAGGGTTTTCATTTAAATTATTTGATATAATTTGTTTTTCTGGGATTATACAACCATTTAACTTTTAAACAAAGGGTTAATTTGCTAAATAATCAAAAAAAAAAATATAATTAAGAAAGTTTCTAAAATTAGTATATGTGGCACTATATCAACCTTTAAATTTATATTAAATGGTTAGGATTTTGATTATAGTTTTTTTTTTGGTTATTGAATGCAATTTCTCTTAAACGGGGTTAATTTGCTAAATAACCAAGAAAAAAATTATAATTAAGAAAGTAACCAAAATTAGTATATGTGGCACTAAATCAATCCTTAGATTCATATGAAATGGTTAGGATTTTGATTATAGTTTTTTTCTTGGTTATTGAATGTAATTTCTCTTAAACGGGAGTTAATTTGTTAAATAACCAAGAAAACAAATTATAATTAAGAAAGTAACCAAAATTAGTATATGTGACACTATATCAACCTTTAGAATTAGACTAAATGGTTAGGATTTTGATTATAATTTTTTTTCTTGGTTATTGAATGCAAAAAAAGTAACCAAAATATTTGTTATGCAAAAAAAAAAAAATAATAAAATGGATTATTGTTCAACTTACGTTATTTAGGGAATCCAGCAAAATCTAGCCACAAAAAGACATATTTGTTATGTACAAATGGCAACAGCAAAAAAAAAAATGCAGCTTTTTAAAAATAAAAGTCACCTTTTTGGGCTGGAAACGTCAAAACATCCACACCATTTGAACTATAATTATTTTTCTTATTATATATTTGTAAGATCTGAAGATATTAAAAACGAAAAGTTGGTTAAAATGTCTAAAATGTAACTAAATTTCATTTTTTGTACCAATACCATGAATTTTTT